CGCGCCCCGGGAGGAGACGTGTTGGAGTCTCGCCTCTTGTCTGCTGGCCGGTGGACTTTGCAGGGAAAGTCTTGCCTTCCCCCAAAGGCCTGCGGGGTCGCACTGGCCTCTGCGCGGGCCGGGCAGCCCTCCCTCGCTGGTCACAGAAGTTCGACGGGGTCGCAGGAGTGGATGCCCAGATGCTGCCAGAAGCCCCAAAGGCCGGAGCCCCGTCTGTGGACACACCCGCAGATCCCAGATTCAGGGACAAAGGTGCTCACGCGATCGCAGGGAGCAGCACACGCCCGCAGAAGTCGGTGTTCGAAGGAAGAGAAGGCGCCGACTCTTCCAGTTGCTCGGTTTCCGCGGAGGCAGGTTAGCGGAAAAGAAAAATCCGCGTGCGAGGGCGAAGTCACGCAGGGGAGAGCGTCCGATCGGACCGCCGCTGACGTCTCTGTGGTTGTGATGTTAATTCCTTTGCCCTTGCTCCAAAGGAAATTCTTGCCTGACGTTTAAAAACGACTGAGACAAAATGATAGACATGTTTTGCACTTTGAAAAATCTTCAGAACACAAGAGAGTGCGTCTCAGACTTCACAACTTATCTTCCTCTGCAGAGTTGGGAGGCGCCAGCGAGCAGACATCGGGCCTCACTTGCCGCTGGGAACCGCAAGCCTGCGCGCAGCCCGGGAGGAGGAACTCCAAGGGCGGCCAGGGCACCGGGTCTGCACACTCAGGGTCTGGGTCAGGGTCCGGGTCGGGCTGCCTCCCTGAGCCTCCCCTCCCGCCCCGACCCCGGACTTCAGCCTCGGCATTCAGACACCCAGGAGGTCTGAGACACAGACAAACCTAGGACTGCTGTTGTGACCCTTGAAAGTCACTGTCCGGGCAACAACCTGAAATTCCTCATCGGGGTTCTTCTAATCCTCATCTGTGTTTAATGCCAGTTACCTTAAGTATTTTTTTTTCCCCTGTATTTCTTCCTACACGAAGTAGGTGACTAGCTTTGTGGCAGAGAGGAGGAGGGAGGGAGGAGGGGCAGAGAGAAGAAGATGGAAATGGAGGGGGAGAAAGAGCAGGAGGAGGAGGAAGGAGAGCAGAAGAAGAGACATTAAAGTAGGCAGAGGCTGCCCTGGCTGGTGTGGCTCCGTGGGTTGAGCACCTGAACTGACAAGTCACTGGTTAGATTCCTAGTCAGGGCACGTGCCTGGGTTTCAGGTCCGGTCCCCAGTTGGGGGCATACGAGGGACAACTGCCTCATGCACATCGACGTTTCTCTCCCTCTCTTTCTCCCTCTCTTCCCATCTTTCTAAAATAAGTAAATAAGTTAAGTAAGCAAAATCTTTAAAAAAAACACACAAAACAAACCTTTAAACGCAGGTAGAGGAGAAGGGGCCCAGGGACCACGGAGAAAAGAGGGGGAGGAGGAGGAGGAAGGGAAGAAGTGGGAGGAGCAGGGGGAGGGCACCAGGAGGAGGCGTGGCCGTGGCTATAAAGCCGGGAGGAGAGCCGGCCTCCGGGACCCTGGAAGGCGGAGCATGGGGCTGCGCCGGGGGCTCCTGCTGCTGGGGTTCTGCCGGCTTCTCTGCGAGGCTGGTCTGTACCACGAAGGTGAGGAGCTGGTGTCTGGGGTTGGGCACGTCTGCTGCCTCCGTCAACACGTCTGAGATGCTGTGCGGGGTGCGAGTCGCCCCAGTGTCATGTGCCCTAAAGAAAGAAAAGAGGCTCTCTGTATTTTTCAGGTGTTTCCAGTTAACAGACAGGATCCACTCATCGGCTTTTTTTTTTTTTTTAAGGTTATCAGCTAATAAAAATGGAAGATTAGGAATGTCCACTGGAAAATTCAGTGGACAGAAGTCGTTTACTTGATAACCATGTATCACCTCCCTTCATTCCATTCTATTAGTAGTAGTAGTTTTAGTCCTCACTCAAGGACATTTTTATTGCTTTTTAGACAGAGAGGAAGGGAGAAACATTGACATGAGAGAGAAGCATTGATCGGTTGCCTACTTGAGGCTGAGGCGGGAGATGACCAAACTGGCAACCCAGGCATGTGTCCTGACCGGGAATTGAACCTGCAACTTTTCGGTTACAGAACGATGCTCCAACCAACTGAGCCGCACCGGCCAAGGCAGTGCTAACCTACTTTTGAGAATAAGCAGCAAATACACACGTGTTGAGATCCTGCCTGTGTTCTGATCTTTGAGAAGAGCAGTTGAATATCTGTGAACCATGGGCAATACTTCATACATTTGTTTGAGATGTCCTGCGACTTGAGGTTGTGCTGGATATTAAGGTCTCCTCAACTTGAATTTGGAAGCAATGTTTAGTGGAAATAAGTTGCCTGTGGTTTGTGAAAATGCATTGCACACTGGCGTGAGTCATCTGGGAGGGGGGAAAATAATGATGGTTACTTTAAGAAGAGAAATCTTCGTCTTTGCAATAAGGTCGTTACCGCACGCTAAGTGCTTTCCGTGTGCCGTGGGCTGCACGGGGCCCTGAGATGCCATTTCCTTGAATTCTCACGGCAAACCTGTGGAGAGTTTTGAACGGTGGGGACTTTCTTTAACAGGTGTGAAACCTAATTCGATCTTATTGTAAAGGCCAAGGACATGTCAACAGACTTTTCTTCAACTTGTACCTTTTAGATAATACTGAAAAGAACTAAAATAAAATGAAACAAAAGAATGGCAAAGTGATAAAAAAAAGAGTTTTCCCTACTATCGTGTGATAATTTTGCAGGAAGGTGTAGAAAAAAGTAAATCACTTACTTTGGTTTGCTGAATTATTTTTGTTTTTTAAAATGAGTTTCATTGTTTCTGTTCAATGACGATATTTGGAAAATACAGTGGAGGCAAAAGGGAAAATTAGAAATCACCCCAATCACACGATTAAAATGAAGCTCTAATGAGACCTGGATGCACCCCCTTTAAAGTATGATTATTCTTGCTAGAATACAATTTGGTAAAGTATTTTCTTTTAATTTGATTTCAAAGGCTAAATCTAGTAAAATAAATATTTATTTAAAATTATGTCTTTCAGATGATGATATAGTAGTTAAAGGTAAGTTGATCAAAACTCTTTTATTACAGATTCTTTTTAAAATTTGCAGTGAAATGGGATGGTGTTGAATACTATACTCCCTTTCCTGGTAAGAAATCATATTTTTCACAAACAACTGCTATTCTTATGTCCTTGTATGTAAGAACAAGTACATTCTATGTTAAAAATTGTCAAAGAACAAGAAGAAGAAGGCAATGACGATGTCCCTGTCAATTTTACTGTTACTATTTCTGAGTGATCCAATATTTCATTCTATACAACTTCATCATGGGATTTCCTCTGTGCAAAAAATAGTCCCACAGAACACAATGAAATTAAAAATGTCTTCCATCACCTACGGATAAAGTACAGAAATTTCCATGTTCATTCATATCTCATCATTGTTAATGCCTATGTGATATTATTTCAAAGTTCTCTTGGTGATGGATATTTTTGGACTGATCTCTGTTTTTTTTTCACTACCATAAACCATGGTAAAATGAACATTCTTAACTTCTAAAACCAGGAAAGTACAGAGGCCAGAGGTATCTATGTTGACCAGTACAGGTTAACATTATCGGGGGAGGGGATATTCTAACATATGTGACATTGCAAAAAAGGAAATAATCCCTAAGCCTACAGAAAGTAACAGACAAAATTATTTTATGATTATAAACTTAAAAATTCTGAAGAACACTAATAAAGACTACTATTTTTTTAATCCTTACCTGAGGATATGTTTATTGATTTGAGAGCGAGAGACATTGATCAGTTGCCTCCTATACGCACCCCAACCGGGGGATTGAACCCAAAACCCAGGTGTGTGTCCTGACCAAAAAAATCCAACCTGCGAACTCATGGTGTGTGGATGACCCTCCAGCCAACTGAGCCACCCGGCCAGGGCAGTGACTAGTTGTAAGGAAAGAATCCCACTGTGCGGCTGGGTGGGAGACAAACATTCCCAGCCAATAGTTTTTCTCTCTGCTGGTGAGAACCCAGCACACGCTGACGAACAGGGAAGCGTTCCGCTCCAGCTCCACGACAAAAACCATTTCGGAGTTCAGTCGGCGGGAAAGGTGCAGGACTCCCATTCAGGAACCAGGGAAATGATGTGGGAGAATACACAGTAGGCTCTGAAAGAATAGCGTGCAGTCTCCCTGGCTGGAGAACATAAGCACAGTCCAATCAATGCTGGCTTCCCATTCTCTTTTTCAGATATTACGATGTTCTTACCAGAGGACAGAAGTAAGTTGATCATAAAACTTTTCCTGCTAAAGTGTCCTTTCTTTCTGTGCTATAAAAATGAGGAGATCAGTCGTTAAGTTTTCTTTTTTGATTAAAAAAATCTTTTTTTTTTTCTCCTTTGGAAAAGTGTACTAGAAGTACCTTGTCAACAGGTAAAGAAAACTGACGGGTAGAAGTCTTCTAGAATTTCACTGGTTCTGTGAGTTTCTACACTTTGATTTCTGCCAACCTAACAGAGAACATTTAATAGAAAGTCCAAATAGAAAAAATGTCCAATAGCGATTAGGAAAATTTTGAACAGAAGTAGCGCTGCAGAGGAGAAGCACTGTTTAAACCAACCGTGCATGCAGTGTATTGAATAGCACAGTGTTGACCCAGCAAGAGACTAACAGTAATAAGTGGCATTTTCTGATGTGTGTTGGCTGCCGACCCCAGTCAGTTTACCACCATCTATCTTGCCTTTCATTTCTTTCTTTCCGATAATTTCAATCGACGTGATAGAGAACATAGGATGGGCCCCAGGGTGTGGGACTAGAATCTCATCATGATTTTAAACGTATGGACGTTTACATGAAGAGGCAGTTTATCTTTACTTAATAGCTACTTGAAAGAACATTAAGTTGCATTAATGTTCTTTGGGTTCTCCTGCATTGGGTGGAAAAATAACTTTTTGTTTAATCAGATTTTAACTGAGAAGGAAACAAAATCATTTCATTTAAGAAGAAAACATAGAAAATGCAGATATGTCCTAAGGACCAGGCAAGCTTTTCAAGCAGAACAAGAATCATCTGTTATCAAGGTAATATTTAAAAAGCATGTAAATGTTTCATGCTGGTGAAAACCCAGGTAAAAGAGCCCATTTGTGGGCAGGATGAATTGCTGGTGACCCTAGAGAAAGCGACTCCATCAGTGCTGAAAATTCATTCATGTTCTCACCCACCAACCTTGCTGTGGGGGTTCCAGCTGGGAGAACTCAATGCTTCTGTGCAGAAGGACTTGCACTGAGTGTTTGTTTCAGCTATAGTTACAGATGGGGGAAAAGTCTGAATGGGAGAAATCTTCAATACATTGTGGCAAAACCCAGATGGCAGCAGAACGGGAGCCAGCATCGGAAGGGAGGCAGAGCTACGAAAGTTAAAAGCATGTGTTGGCAAGGATTTCTATGATCTGTAAAGTTAGAAACTGACGTTATGGTTATAAAGGAGGATTCATTTGGGGAGAGAACAAAAATCTGTGTGTGTGTGTGTGTGTGTGTGTGTGTGTGTACATCTGTATGATTATACATGTTACGTGGTCAATATATGTTGCATGGATGGAGATGTATACCATCTCCATACAGAAACAGATGGGTAGACAGAGACGCCCATCTATCCGGGCATGGGGAAAGGCGTGGGGAAACGCGTGGGGAAATGCGTGGCAAGATGCAAATCAGGCTGTACATTCTGTGTGTCCATGTGCACATGCGTGTCTGGCATGTGTCTCTGTGTGCAGAGGTGTCTGTGTGCCTTGTGTGGGGGTGTGTAAGGTGGTGGAAGAGGGCGAAGAGAAGAAATACAGGTGGAAACTGTTTAATAGATTAAGGCCCACATTTATGCGTCTAAGCTGAGGGTAGATTTCTGGCACAGGGGCCAGGTACTAGCTAAGCGAAACGCCAAGGCCGTGCATGCCTGGGGAAACTGGGACAGGGCTGGGAGTCTGCACCCAAAGCCTTCTGGATGGAGGCCCCCAGCTCTGCTCCCGCGAGACCCGGGAGAACCCAGGCGGTGGTTCCAGCGGCGGCAGCAGCAGCAGCAGCGAGCAACTGCGCACAGGAGGGAGGCAGCTCTGCTCCGTCCTGCCCAGCAGCCCCAGAGATGGAGGGAGATGTTTCTCCCTAGGTGGCAAGTGCGTCTTCCCCTTCTACTACAACAAAGGCATGTTCTACGACTGCATCGAGTTCAAGGCCAAACACAAGTGGTGCTCCTTAACGGAGACTTTCAAAGGACATTGGAAGTACTGTTCTGAAGAAGGTGAGTGTCCGCCCTCGGAAGCCCTCCGGGTGGTCGTCCTGGGCTTGGGAGCCGGGGTTCGCTGAGGCCCTCCCGAGGGCCCGGCAAATGCAGCGCCCAGTCCCTGGGACCCCGGAAATAAGTCGTGGCGGGTGTGAACGTCCCAGCGCACCAAAGATATATTATGAGTGCTTCCACCACATGACCTTGAAAAGAAATCTTTCAGCCCTGGCTGGTGTGGCTCAGTGCATTGAGCACCGGCCTGCAAACCAAAGCGTCGCCAATTCGATTCCCAGTCAGGGCACATGCCTGGGTTGCAGGCCAGGTCCCCTGTAGGGAGTATGTGAGACGACCACACACTGGTGTTTCTCTCTCTTTCTCTCTCTCTCTCTGTCTTTCTCCCTCCCCTTCCCCTCTCTCAAAAAATAAATAAAGTCTTTGAAAAAAATCAAATTTCAAAAAAAATTAAAACAAATCTTTCAGCAGAACCTCAGTCCCCCATCAGCACTGGTGCCGTATGCTTAGGAGGGAATAGAGCAGAGTGAGAAACAGGTGTGTGTGTGAGTGAGAGAGAGAGAGAGAGGGACGCTGAGGAGGGGGCACGGAAGAGAGAGGGTCTTCGTCTGACTGCTCCTGTCTTCTGCGCAGACATGGCCAAGTGCATGTTTCCCTTCTGGTTCCGGCGCATGATCTACTGGGAATGTACCGAAGACTCGGAGGCAACTGGGAGACCCTGGTGCTCCCTGACTCAGAATTATAACAAGGATAAAGTTTGGAAATATTGTGATCCATAAAGAGATTTGGGGGGTTGGGTGGGGTGGGGCTGAAGAGGTCACATCATTCTTATGGCAAAAAATCCTCAGTGTTTATTGGGAAAGCAGGAGGCGGGGTTTCAAGCTGATCTGGCTGTAAATGACTTGGGTTTTGACGATGGTTATAATGTTTCTAGCCTCAGCACTCTTACTTGCTAACTGTGTAAAATTTGGCCCTTAAAAAATAGTTCATGGACTGGGGGTGATCAAGAGGTGCCAGCGCCATCAATTATAACCAATGTCCCAGTGCGGGGGGGGGGGCGTGGGTATCAGTCACAGGGAAGGCTGTGCTCACATGTGGGGTCAGCGGGTACACAGGAGCTGTGTCTTCTGCTCACTGTCGTTGTGAACCTAAAACCACAGAAAATAAAGTTTCTTCTAAAATGCATTACCCTGATGAAGAATTACTTTTTTAAAGATTTTATTGATTTAGTTTTAGAGAGAGGGGAAGGGAGGGAGAAAGAAAGGGAGAGAAACATCAGTGTGAGAGAGAAACATGGATTGGCCGCACTCAGGTCCAGGGCCTGAACCTGCAACCCAGGCACATGCCCTGACCAGGAATCAAACCAGCGACCTTTCGCTTTGCGGAACGACATCCACCCAACTGAGCAGCCCCTATCAAGGCTGTTGATTATTAATCTTTATAGCAACCCCATGAGGTAAACATTGTCACCTTTTCCAGAAACTATGAGTCAAGTGGATTAACTAATTTGGGGGGGTTGGAAATTAACTAATTTTTAAAGAGTTTATAGCATTAAGACCTTTAAGCTATAGCCCTGGCTGGTGTGGCTCAGTGGATTGAGCACAGGCTGCAAACCAAAGGGTCACCAGTTCAATTCCCAGTCAGGGCACATGTCTGGGTTGTGGGCCAGGTCCCGGGTTGGGGGACAAGCAAGAAGCAACCACACATGGATGTTTCTCTCCCTCTCTTTCTCCCTCCCTCCCCCTCTGTCTAAAAAAATAAATAAAATCTTTTTTAAAAAGGACTTTGATGATGTCAAATGGTGATAAAAGGAAAATGCTAAACAGCATTACCACATGACCCAGACATTCCACTTCTAGGCACATACTCAAGCGGATTGGAAGTAGGGACTTGAGCAAGTATTTCTACACCGATTTTCCTCTCAGCCCTGTTCACAGTAGACAAAGGAGGAGGCAGCCCTGATGCCCACCAGCCGATGAGGGAATGGATGGAATGTGGTAGAGCCGTGCAGCACAGTACCATTCAGTCTTAAAAACACAATGAGGTGGACCCCTGGTCAGGCACTCAGTTGGGTGGACCATTCATGGTCTGGTACAGCAAAAGGTGGCAGGTTCACTTCCCCGCCAGGGCACATACCTGGGTTGTGGGTTTGATCCCCAGTGGGAGCACGTACAGAAGGAAGCTGGTCCCTCTCTCTCTCTGTCTTTCTCTCTCTCTCTCCCCCACCCCCCTCTCTTAAAAGACAAAAACAGTAAAAAAAAGTAATGAACTTGATACATTCTACCACATAGATGAAACTCAAAATCGTTACACTAAGTGAAATAAGCCAAATACAAAAGACCACACACTGTATAATTCCATTTCCACGGGAAAAATCTTAGAGACAGATGGTGGATTAGAGGGTACCAGGGATTGGGAGGAGGGGAGAATGGGGAATTACTATTTAACAGTGCAGAGTTGCTTGGGGTTCACCAGGACAACAGTTCAGTTGTTTTCCAAGGTCTTGCACAAATACCAGCGTACTGTGGGTTCTCACTGGGTACCAGTGTGTGCCCTGACTGGGAATCAAACCCTCAACCTTTCGGTGCACAAGATGACATGCCAACTAACTGAGCCACCCAGCCAGGGCCAGAGGGATATGTCTTAAATTCAGCTGTGTCACTTATGACAGGCAATTTCCCTGACCTCTCTAAGCCTCAGTTTCCTCCTGTGTAAAATAAGGATAAGGATGATGGACATCTTGTGATTCTCTCTGGAATCAACAAAAAGACAAAAATTAAATACATATACATATTGTTAATTCATTAACACAGAACTCACAGCCAACACACTATATAACTGGTGCCTGAACAGAACTTCTCTGTAACAGGGATTTTCTCCATGTGATGCGTCACAGCCTCCTTGTGTCACAGCCTCCTTGTGCCTGGGGACACCAGGAGGTACTTCAGCATTGCACGTGTGGGCATCTTCAACAGCAAAATCACCATCAAAAAGCACCAAAAAGAGAAAAGAAGGAAAGAAAAAAAGAAAGAAAGAAGGAAAAGACAACCCACACGAAATGTGGCACTAAATAGATCCGCGAAAAGGAAACTTATTCATAGGACGAAAGCTGAGCATAGGCACTGAGCACCTCAAATGTTTCTTTGCTTTGTGCACATCTGTGAATTTCACAGCCAGGGTGGATGGTTTGCAGGAGTTTGTAAGATTCACGGCTCAAGCGCGCCCTCTGCCGTCTAGGTAGTGAAGGGCAGTTAATTTCAAGAATTGCTTTGCTTTTTGCGGGGAGGAAGGGTGCATTAGGGTGAGAAGGTTTGTTTTATTGTGGAATATCCTAACGTGTCTCCCTCCTTTTTCTCCTCCCCAGCCAGCCTCCAAAGGAGACCTTTCCCTTCTGTTTACCCCTTCTTCCTACAGAAATGGCACTTTCCAAGTGGACCCCCTCACGCAAACGCACTCCTAAGTGCCCACAACCACTCACCCTTTCTTGGACCTACCAGGACTCCTCAGCATTTCCTCAGTTAGGGTGAAATTTCTCTTCCAGCAGAGATTGTCGCCATAGCCTTGCTTTTCCCAGAACGTCATATAGTTTAAATCATGCAGCACAGTCATCCCTGGGTATCCATTGAGAATAGGTCCCAGGGTCCCTTACCAAAATCTGCGGATGTTCATCTCTTACGTAAAATGGTGCATTATCTGCTTATAACCCAGGCGATCCTCCCGCATACTTTAAACCATCTCTAGACTACTTGCAACACCTGATGCAGTGGAAACGCTACATAAATGCTCGTTATGCAGTGTTGTTTAGGGAATAATGACAAGGGAGAAATTCAGTGTAGATGCAAACATCACCCACCATAGGCCTAACTGCGCATTACACACCAGCAGCAGTGTAACATTTATTTTGTTTTTATTTTTTGAATATTTTTGATCTGCGATTGGCTGAATCAGCCTATGTGGAACCCACAGATGGGGGGGGGGTGACTTAGAAAGCATTTCACACTGTTTTTTTTTTTTTTACTTTGCAATATGTATTCAATGTTCTCCCACATCTTTTCATGGCTCAAGAGCTCTGTTCCCTTCTGGTTTTGATTTCTGATTTAATTTCTTGGACATTGGAGAAGGTGCTTTGTATGAATTGAATATTTTTTTAATGTATTAAGACTTGCTTTATGGCATCTCTGGGCCACATATTAAATACACAAACAATAACAAAAACTGATGAGCAAAAAAAAGGTTTTAAGTAAAGCTATGATTTGTGTTGGACCACATTCATAGCCATCCTGGGCTACATACAGCCTGCAGGTTGGACACCCCTGGAATGGTTTTTCATGGGAAATTTTTAAAAAAGATTTTACTTATTTATTTTTAGAGAGAAGGGAAGAAGGGAGAGAAAGAAGAGAAACATCAATGTGTGAGAGAAATATCAATTCATTGCCTCTCACACACCCCTCCCATGGGGGAACCTGGCCCGCAACCCAGGCATGTGCCCTGACTGGGAATCAAACCCAAAACCCTTTGGTTCATAGTCCTGCGCTCAATCCACTGAGCCATACCAGCCAGGGGAATAATATTCTTAACACTGAAGTTAATTATGACAACCGATTGCTCAGGGACAGACATGAGAATTAAACCGAGCTTAAGTGGACTTGAGGGTTCACAGCATTTTCCATGAAACTAAACAGCCTCTATCAAAAAAAAAAAAAAGAAGAAGAAGAAGAAGAAAGAAAGAAAGAAAGAAAGAAAGAAAGAAAGAAAGAAAGAAAGAAAGAATATATTTCCTTGCCATGTTCCATGCATACAACAAACAGGAAACTTTTTAAGCATGTTAACAATTACGCCATTTGGCTGCCATGCAACGCACTCCTTGCCTTTTGCAAAGTGCCAGAGAGGGTAACTGGACAATTTCAGCATTGCCATGAGCAGTGCCTAAAGCTGGCTCTCCTATCTGCAGAACCAGAAATACTAGTTTCTCATGAAAATGTAGTCACACTTTTCTCTCAGAGTCATGGCAACGCAGTTACTGCAGGGAGACATAGGAAAGACTTTGAAAGTCACTTCTGACTCCTGTCTGCCAGCCTGAACCTCAGCAGTGAGTTTCTGATGACAAAGCAAGCTGTAGTCACCACACTGACTGATGGTACCACCGTTCAGATTGTTTATTGCAGCCTAAGTGCCCATCGGTAAATGAGTGGATCAAAAACTGTGGCACATTTACACAATGGAATACTATGCAGCAGAAAGAAAGAAGGAGCTCCTACCCTTTGCGACAGCATGGATGGAACTAGAGAGAGTTATGCTAAATGAAGTAAGCCAGGCAGTGAAAGATAAATACCATGTGATCTCACCTATAAGTGTAACTAATCAGGAAAACAAACAAGCAGGCAAAATAGAACCAGAGTAACCAGAGGGGAGGGAGAAGGGGGAGGAAAGAGGGTGCTAACAGGGGAAAGGAGGGGAAGGGACTAGTCAACGAACGAGTATAAAGGACCCGTGGACATGAACAACAGCGTAAAGACTGACTGTGGGAGTGGCGGGGTGGGGGCGGGGCAAGGAAGAGCAGTGGGAGAAAAATTGGGATGACTATAATTGAATAACAATAAAATAATTTTTCTTTAAAACAAGGTTGTTTAGCCCTGTCTGGTGTAGCTCAGCGGATTGAGCACAGGCTGTGAACCAAAGGGTGGCCGGTTCAATTCCCAGTCAGGGCACATGCCTGAGTTGTGAGCCAGGTTCACAGTAGGGGGCACCCGAGAGGCAACCACACATTGATGTTTCTCTC